GTACCGCAACGCGACCGCGGACGCTAGTGAATTGCGCGATTCGCAAAGTCTGACATCGACTTAGGTGGCCAAAACTTAAAAGTTTCGCAGAAATTGGGTCACACTTCCGATCCCCTACTAATCTGTTATTCGGGTGATTAAAATAACTGCAACATCGCTTTAACCCCTACCTCCAGGGCCGTAAGGTATGCTTCCCCGAATGGTTGGGGGGACGAAAACACCTTTAAATTTTTTTTTGTTCTGAACGATACTGTTTCTTCATTTTCCGGTGCATGTTCACATTAACCTACACACATATATTAATGTAGCCCCTAGTCAGCGAACAGTCCCAGTTGGGAAGACAGAGAAAATTTGAAGGGCTTTCGTTCCCCAACATTTCGGGGATGCATACCTTACGGCTCCAGACCTGCTACTATCTTCAATCAATACATACATTTCACTTTCGCTCAATCTCCTAATCTCCTGAACGATGAGTATGAAAACGCCTTTCGGAAGTGTAGGACAGTTGAACGCAGCTCGTATCTCTTCTTCCAAACTCGATAATTACCAGCAGTATTAGTAGGAGCACTTAAGGACCTTCCAATAGTTATTCGCACGGAATCATCTACTGATTTATCTTTCTCCTTCATGATAAAACGGGTTGTGTTGAGTTTCCATCATAAGTGGAATCAAGGAACAAGCATCATAAATACAAGCGGAAAAACGACACAATAAGTGCCGGAAAACATGCTGTACTAATTGTATAACACACTGGTCAAAAGCCGGAACACGCCAAACAAAGGCAATAAACAATAATCCTTAATGAAAACCGCTTTCTAAAGAGGTCGATAATTGAAACAAATTAGCTTAAAAAAAGCAATCGTCAGCCGCATAGGACCTGAAGCACACCACGAACCATTGGTAAGTTTCAAACTTCTTCCACCATTACGAAACTAGCGCTGGTCGCGTGCGTAGGCGAGCGTTTGCGTCACCGTTCTCCTCATGGGGCGCCCTTTCTCCCAAGTGGTCACCTCACCTGTGCTGGGTTACAAGGCTTCTGTCAACCAAAGGGTGAGAGCGTAGCTGGAAAAGCACACACTTTGTGTCTTATTGGGACTAAGCCTTTTGAAGAAGATAAAGAAAGAAGAGATGCTGTGATAGTGTGCACTTGTGAGAGCTCCCAGACACACTTGGACAGAAGTCCGGGAACGCGCGGTGAAGAAAAACAGCGAAAAAATGACTCGGTATTCTTAACAAATTCCGCATGGCGGATTGCTCCAGAAAAAGCAGTTGACAATCAAAAGCTAAAAATGTATCCCAACATGATGACATTACGCACTGATTGCATAGAAGACATGGGGTATGTCACCTGGGGGGGGGGGGGGACACTCAGTGAAATCGGCCCAAGTAACGGTGCCACATTTTGTGAACTTTTGTTTCGCGTTCCGGATGCCCCCGAACTTCCTTTCCAGCAGAAGCTCAGGATAGCTGTCAGAGCCTGGGGACGGAGAGCCGGCTCACAGCTCTGCCGCAGAGCTGCATTCATTGGCCGCGACGCGACCGCAGACGCTAGCGAATCGCGCGATTCGCAAAGTCTGACATCGGCCTAAAAGATAGGGTGTGGTTCACTAGGACAGAAAGCGACTTCTTCGCGAAACAATGTTCACTGCGGGAATATCGGGTCCACTGATGATTCGTTGCGGGAACTTCAGCCCTGAATCTGAGGTCCCCGCAGCGGGAAATGTTTCGCGCTGCGAAACGCGAAGAAGTCGCTTCTGTTCTAGTGAACCACACCCCTTAAGATATTACAAAATACGTGTGTAATTAGACGCTATCGGGTCACCGGAGACACCAAATCCAGCATCATAAATGCAATTCTATTTCATTATTTTTATAGATATCTTGAACTCACCCAGTCTTTACATATTAGGGTATGGAAAGCAAAACATGCACTACTGCAAAGCAACATCAGAACTGCGTGCAGTCTTCACAGGCTTATTTTGGTTGCTTTACAATAATCCCAAAGAAGCACTTGTTTAATGTCATGGTACAGTACTTCATACTTCAGTTGTTTTGTTAATATCCCACGGTTGATGGCAGCCGATTCATCTCGGCAGTCCTTCTAACCGATCTCATCTCCATTCGCTTTTGTTTCTTTTCACTCTCACTCACATTCCTAAACGTTTTTGTTGAATTTATCTCAGTGTTCTTTGCTCTAGTTAGATTTTTCGTTCTTTCAGAGTGATGATATCATCTATGTAAACGATCGAGCGCATAATAGAAAATGGGACTTTTCCCGTTTTTTAATCGAGGAGCGGGGAAAGTTATCCACGCGAAGGTGACCACAATGGATGCAGACCTCGATCGGATTGTAGTTGAGGTAACATTGCTATCCTCACCCTATTATATGCCTATTTTTATGTTATGAATTGATGGAGTCAGAGAATTTTCTCCACGAGGACTTCAGTTGGTGCATGAGCTCATTCATAGTCGGTCGTCCGATCGTAACGATCGCATAGCGTTGGATGCGTATCGAGCGTTCTGTCCTTGGACACGACCGACGATCGATAAGCATCCAATGCTGTGACCGCTGTCATAGCCAAGTGTGACGGCGGTCTGTGCGATCGTTGTGATCGTTACAATCGGACGGCCTACCATAAACGGGCCCTACTGGAAGGCCAATGACGCTTTTTCGTTTTTTACACCGTCTTTGCTTTTTTTTTAATTACACTATCCCGATACCTCTTCAACTATAATAAGCAATCATAAGCAGCATATGACCACATGAAGGCATTTTTGTTCCCTTTAGTACTTTCGAGAGAAGCATTTTCAGAGATTACTTAAAAGGCGAAGCCGTTAACTAGCTGCTGATTAATTCAGGCGAGTTGGACTGGTCGTCACTTATTCGATGCAGTCTGTCGCATAATAGGCCTTCGTGAAGTGTGGTTTTTTGGCCTGCAATTCACCAATAAGAAGGGTTTGCCGTGTTGGTTACAAATGGATAGGGAGGTAAATGTTGTCTGTGGCATCTTCGACTCTTATTCAATTTGTTTAGTTTCATAGCGACTCTTTTCTAGATAAGAAAACAGGATGTACCACGAGAGGGGGATGGCTGCATGCAGTTCTTATTCTTGGTGAAGTTCTACCCAGAGGATGTTGAGGAAGAGCTTATACAAGTGAGCTGATCGGTTTTTTATTTGCTGCCAGTATTACTTGATGGTTTTCATGCCGTTATCAGGAAAAAGAGGTGGTCTGAATTTGATATCAACTTGAAGATGCCGGATTATATCATCTTGAATATCTTTTTCCTTGTGTTTCTTGGTATTATGTTACTACTCCATTTCTTTAGATGCTTGAAGTTACTCGAGATTCTTTCGTCTCGGTTCACTTAGAGCCTTGCGTAAAGTGCCAAATTCATGTAGACGACTTGGTGGACGGGTTCATAGGGAGACTAGCTAACAAATAAATCTAGATGATTTACAACTGGTGTCAATATGCTTCACATACACGACCTTGGGCTATTCAGAAAGGCTATTATGGTTTCATTCGTATACTTCATGTTCATTTATTCCACATTTTTTTTGAATGATGGTCCTTTGTACACCATACGACAACGCTATTCAAAGGATGTCCCTGTGTTTCAGGATCTCACAAGGCACCTTTTCTTTTTACAAATAAAACAAGCCATATTATCCATGGATCTCTATTGCTCACCTGAGGCTTCTGTTCTTCTCGCAAGTTTTGCTGTTCAGGCAATCGTAAGTTTTTTTCAAGGATATTAGCCACTTTTTCGGCAGTGTCACCAATTCATTTCTTCTGAGGGTTGCGGTTCTCTTTGCTTGAGAGATCATCTTTTCACTTTTTGCCAGTATGCGTTAATTGCTTAGCTTTTCCGATTAGCAAGCACGTATAAAAGCAGATTTTGAATTAGCTGTTGATAAAGCTAAAAGGAGCTCATCTTCTGGCACAAATACCGCTTTATTTATCGCAATCTCGGGCATTCGTTCTCAATCTGTTGTTTGGTCCAGAATGGCGATTGTACTGACGACACTGGGCCGTTGGATCTGGAGAAGTTGTTACCGAAAAGCGTTATTGATCAGTACGATATGAGTGCTGATATGTGGAGAGAGCGTATCAAACGTTGGTGGATCAACAATCATGGGCAATCAAGGTTTGGGCTACCCATCTCAATTCATCTTTGATCTCTTGATGCGTTTATTAATTTCAGGGAAGATGCTGAAATGGAGTATCTTCGTGTGGCCCAGGATCTCGAAATGTATGGAATACTCTACTATCCTATCTGTGTAGGGTCATTTCTTGTCTGCTTTTTACTTCCCTGAACTTGTGTAGTACACCGATTGTTACAGAACAAAAAAGAAACCGATTTGCATCTCGGTATTTCGGCTCAAGGACTAGGAATTTACAAGGGATCGAATCGAATAACTCCGAGGCCGTTTTTCTCATGGAGCGAAATCAAAAACATCTCGTTTTATAACAAGAAGGTATGCTTGAAGTGAGGTTCTAAACTTACTTCTCATGTAATTGCCTCGAAACAATTCCAGTTTCATATGAAAACGGTGGATAAGTCAAAAATATCATTTCGTGCTCAAGAAAGAACTATCAATCCTTCAATTCTCGACTTGTGTATAGGAACACACAATCTCTACCTCCGACGTCGTCAGCCTGACACTTTAGAGGTACTTTTTAAATGCTTCATCTTTTTTGTTGTGTTGCTTTTCCAGGGTGTGTTCTTAAAACCACATATCGAAGGTCAGTGTGTTGCCTCATAAGGAATAAGTGCATATGTGTTTTTCGTTGAGATTTTACTAAGAGAGATGTCGGTTTGGACGTGATAAAGTCTTTCTTATTCTTTTTTCCAGTGCTACAATTAGTTGCCCATTTTTTCAGGTTCAACAGATGAAAGCCTTAGCGAAGAAGAGCGAGCACGAAGACAGGTCAGTTGTTTTGCTTGAAAGTGCTGTGATTGCACTTGTTCTTAATAGTGTGTAGCTGATACATGTTGGATTGCCTATAGTGACCCGAGTGACTTTAGCAAGAAGTTGCCCGAATTGCGAGAGAGCGAGAAGAACGTCTTCAAATCGAAAATGAACGAAATCAGTTGAAGGCTGAAGTAGAAAAGATAGCGGAACAACTTGCACAGGCCAAGGTAGAACAATATTCTGAGTTCGAGGAAATTTTCATTGCTTTCACGCTAACGTGGCCCTGTATCTATACTCTCGAAGTTTCCTCTCATTTTCTTTTTATAAGGAGGCAGCCCGCAAAACCGAGGAAACAGCGGAGCTACTCGCTGAGAAAGCGAGAGCGAGCGAGCAAGAAACGTTGATGCTCACAAAAAGAGTCAGCGAAGCAGAGGCGGAATGTCACCGGTTACAAATGAATCATGTTAAGGTACGCTTGAAATTTGTTATCTTCACACTTATCTTTGTTTTCTCGTTGCCTACCCACGAGCTTGTGCCTCATGACTCAGTGTAAGTTTACTCAGAGTTACTGGTTCAAGCTGCTTTGGTTTGAAGAGTTCTATCAATCTTGATCGAAAATGGTGCTTGAATAGAATTTCTTCCGCATCAAACTTTTTACTCTTTCATTTTTTTTTAGTCGGAGCGGAGGAAGCATTAATGAGGATGGAGCGCAAGGCTCGCGAAGCGGAGCTATACGCACAACGGATATCAATGTCATTGGCTGATGTTAATACGAAAGCCCCACTATGCGAGTCACGCACTAATTACAGAGCCTACTGTGCGTTTTCTTTTTTTGTTATTCTTCCCGTTGTGCGCATTTCTCTTGTTTCTTTAGATTTGGCCCATGACTAATATGGCCTTGCAAGGTACGCTTTCTCACCATCAACTGATGATGTCTGCTGGCTCACAAGAAGGTGATCGCGGTGCGATTTCCGATCGGCCAGCGATGCATACGTCACAACATCCTTCTTCGCTCAGCTCGATGTTTAGATCAGTGCCACCCAGCATAGCCCAGGTTCGTGATGTTATGTATCAAAGTGGACGGTTTGTTGCTTGTTCTAGTGTGTTGATGCAAGGGCTCGTTCTAGATTGTGCATGCCCCTCCACCGGATCCATCGGTTAATCAGCGACTCGAGTTTCATAACTTACGCACGGAACTTGAAAAATCCAGTGATTTCTTACGGCCTCTTTTTTTTTTGGTTATATTACGTATTTATTTATTCAACTGTGTACATTGGTGAAAATTCCCAAAAAAATTACATCCAGTGCTGGGAAAGTTTTGGTAGTGTTGGCCTGGCTTACTTTTTCACAGAACCCTTATCGGGGGTTTACACCGAGTGTGGTTCACTAGGACAGGAAGCGATGTTTTCGCGTTTCACAACGCGAAACATTCTTCGTGGGAACCTCAGGTCCACCGCTGATCATCAGTGGACCCGACGTTCCGCAGCGAACCATCAACGGACCTGAGATTCCCGCAACGAACATGTTTGGCGCTGCGAAACGCGAAAAAGTCGCTTTCTGTCCTAATGAACCACACCCATCTACCGTTCTCCCGGTCGATAGACTTTCTGGAGGTGAAAGGTAACTTCGAGGCGGGGAAAAGAACCAGCCGTCCATACTTTTTGGGCGCCCTGTAGTTGTTTTTTTCTTTGGGTGGGTACGTGAACCTATCGACCTTGCGTTTCTACAATCGCATGATTGCATGATCGAATGTTGGTCGATACATATTTGCTCCACGAAAAAAACACAGGATTGCAAAATCGCAGAGTTGTAAGATTCCATATGTCATCGTCGACGACCCCTGCAATACTGTAACCGACCAACTCCTCTCCCTCGAGTGGCTTCTCAGTGGGCGGATTGCGGAGTACTTCCTAAGACAGGCACGTAATCTACTTCTATGAGCGTAGGGAACGATCCATCCTCCCACGTTACTCTCAATCTCTCTCTTCAGGAATGGATGCCGAAGACTTGGGTTAGGTCTTTAATGTAATGATAAAACGGAGCTCAGTGGTAAGTTATTGGGACAGAGACGTGAGAGTACTGGGGCCGATGGAGCAATAGGTTGGTGCTTAGGGTATTGCAGAGGTCGTCGACGACGCCAGTGGCCACGGGCAAGAAGAGTAGGTGGGACCAAAATACGGCTGAAGAGCAGGGTTAATGACTCATAGAGAGGTGTGATTAGTATTTCCTTCCCAAAAGGATGGTTGAAATTGACCAAAACGGTTGCTTGTAGGCATGATTTTTCTGAAAAGGCACGACTTTTCAAAGAGAGATTGGACGATTTCCGAAACGAAATTGACGCAATGAAAAGAAGACAGGCAAACTGAGCACGATGTCATTCATATTCATAATATGCACAACGGATTCGACAAATTCACGACTTTGAGAATGGTGGGTTTTGCAACTCTTTATTGAATTACTGTTTTTATCTCTGCTTTTTCTCGAATTTCGCTGTCGTGTTGCTACTGATTAGTTGGTGTATGGTGCAGCTTAGTATAAGTAGTAGATCAGCAATTTGAATCTCAAACTTGCACTGAAAATATTGAACCTCCAGACTGGTCCTTTTCTCATATTCTCCCAAACTCGAAATGAAAAAAAAATTTCATTGTATAATTTGCAGTTGTCGAGGATTATATAGGATTATAGCTCTAGCTGGATTGAAGTTCTCATTTTTTTCGTAAGAGTGGCCCCTCCTCCTCGTCATTAATTCCTAACATTTCTGTAATTTTTTAGATAAGCGAGATGCTAAGTTCTCTGAATCTTGTTAAATGAGTGCAATACGACTGGTGGTTTGTGTAGTTGGTGAATGTTTACGTAATGCGGGACATGTAAAGTTTCATTTGCTGAATGCCATAACAGAGCTGTAGGTGGTGTTGAAGGTCTCCTTTTTGCTTTTTTCAACCATCGGTTCTGTGAACTTTACTTAACATTGAAGTTTTTCCGGAAGGCTTTCAAGGTCTTCAACGAAATGATACTTTACACTGTCCCGTTTCTCTTCATTGTGGAGTTTTTTTTTTGTTTCTGAGGCGTTCGCATCGCATATGTCCATTCGAGTACCAAAGGTGTTGAAGAATTCCAGTGTACCCTCTGACATTTCTTTTTATTTTGTTTGCAGTTTTGTAAGGGAGTTCCTCATAGCATGAGCACGTTTTCCAATCACGTCATTTTTTTCATTCTGTCATGTGTAGTTGTTATAACATTTTTGCTGTAGTCAAACTAAAAACTTAAGCCACTGTCGAACCAGTAGTTTAAGAGATGGAAAATTCCCGAGAGTAATTCGTAAGGCCTTCTACCTGGGGAGTAGGGTTAAAATCACTCGTCCATTTGTCTGAATATCCACCCTGGAAGGTCTTCACTCAAGCCTGTAGAAAATGGTGAACTCGAATATGTTTTCGAGGTCTGAAGATTCGAGGTAAATGGGAACGGGGTAGACTGTGGAAATTGGCCCTGCTACCAATTCTCCCATAAACCTCGGTGGATTCGGATCTGTTTCCGTGCAGGCCAACCAAACTTCTGTCCTATCTAGACAGTTATCCATTTTCAGACACGCTGGAAGTATGTGTTTACTGCTCACCCCCCCCCGCCCCACTAACGTCAGTGGATTTTGCTGGTCATTGCAAATCGCATCTAAATATTACCGCGATTTTGGGCGAAAGTCCGTCTGCGTGGCGCATTCTAGAAAGTTATTCCTCAGCGCAATATGTCCGCTCTTTGGCCCACACTTCCACTGGAGTCAGTTTAATAGCAGTGAACAAAGGTGTGGGCGTTCGCCTCTGCCTGCAACGTGCGTGTCTTTTTCTGGGAATAGTTGATTGCTAGTACAGGCAGTTATCGCCCTACTTAGTGTAGCCCTCCCAGTTTCTCTGGACTGCCATCCTGATTCACAAGTGTCCGTACACAACATTGTAAGTCGCTAGGCATTCTTTTTGTGCCAGAATTCAGTGTCGATGTGGTTTCCATCAAAGGAAACATCTCAAGAAGAACGGATGTTGAGGTGATCATGAGTGACACATGATCTTGATGTGCTGTTGAACTAATATTGCGCAAGTGTCTGCGATTAATATTTCAATGATGATATTCGTATTTTAGAGTTCTCGCGGTACTCCAAAGCAACGTGTCGAGGTCTTCGAAGGGCTCTGACGAACTTTATTTCTCTAGAGTCTCTTTTCTTGTTTTTTTTTCACGACCGCTCTCTGCTAACCTTATTGCTCCATAAAGTGGACTTGGACTATAGCTCAAAAGATTTCTATTAGTACTTAAGAATATGGCCTTCACAACATTTGCCGCCATCTTCATATTGTACACATTGTATGGTACTTGTGTCGAAAATCATGCTTCTCTTGTTAGGGAATGATCCTATCTGTATAGTAGTCTTTCTTTGTTATCGAATCAGTAATCTCATAACTGAGGAAGTTTGTAAACCGTGCCTTACTACTAGACTGAACTGATTTTCATCATCTTCTTCGTTTACTCTTGTTTATTCTTTGTACGTTTGGTTTTACCACACGTACCGATAGCATAACCTTCTGCTTTTTGATGCCAACTGTTTTCACTAATCATTGGTAGTATTTATCGAAATCATCTTGATATTTTCTCATTTTTGGATATTTCAAGGTCAATTTGTGATTTCGCTTAGAGTAGTCATGATGTGATAGATTTGGTGTTTCTTCATTTCTTTCTTTGTGCGGTATATGACCGATCGATTTCAAAATTTCGTGTACTGATATACACGCTAAGCCGTTGCCTATTTCTTTGCTCAGTTACCAGCTGCTTAAATTGTCGTACGAGAGAGATTATTACATATTGCATCAATTGTGACCTTACTTAAAGCTACTACTTAGTGCCTTCATTTCACAAGCGGTCAGGTGTTTTTTTTTTGTTGATTGTTCAATAAACTAATGATTCTTGTATTTTAATATATTGAATGGATTGGTTTCGAATCTGCGTGTATCTGTGCGATCAGAACGAGCTGAAGAACGACGACAGTAACAAATGACACCACTTAATGTTGTCGTTCTCCAGTCCGTTTTGAAAGCGTATCCAGGTGAAATTACTTTATTTACCTATGTATTAGCACAACCATAGTTGATTTCGAGATGAAATTCACAAAGACTTCCACTTATAGTTGGGATGATAGCAAAGAGAGCTGGAGGCTCTGTCGACAAGTCGCCAGCTGTCAGGAAGCCTAAAGTGGCCGAGGCGTCCGCTCCGATCATTGAGCCTGCGGTCAGTAATTAAAGTCGATATGTTAATCATTGAAGAACACTTTTGAGTTTTCCACTGGATTTCAATTCATTTATAATTATGGGGCTGTATCTTATCCTTTCGCCAGGCTAGGGGAACAAAAAATTTTCAACTTTTCTTTGCCTTACCTACAAAAACCGCCGTGAGAGAGTGCATATATGTAATGTTATATATGCGTAAAGCATGTGCGGGAAGAAGAAGGTCTTTGAAAACAAACAAATTCAAATGGCTCTTGTGTGCTACTTCGAAGGACCGAGCCATTCAGAAATTGACAACTGTCATTTCGCCACCTAAGCAGTTAGTATATAATTGATGCCTTCCAGCAACAAGCGTTCTGAACAAGAAACATGAGCTTATGAATACTTGGTTATTATAGTGAGATTATTGTGTTCAATGCATAATCAAACTAGGTGTTAAACCTTTTTGTTTTCTGCATTTGAAATCCATTTTGATTTTTATCAATAGGTTGTTTCCGGAATTTCCATATTATTGTTCAAACTTTCCTAAGATTTCATCAAGGTGGAATTCGAAGAAGTTGTCTAATCTTCGTTTTGCACATGCCCTTAGACCGAGACAAAACAAAAGATGTCCTCTCTTGTGCTGTTCAGAAATAATTTTGTAATTAATGCTTTGTTAGTGTTTAAATAAAATCTGAACAGCCCGAATATTTACTACAAAGCGAGATATTTGATTTCACATGACTTCATTATATAATTTTACTGTTGCAAAATCTCGAATTACCCGTTGTACTTACTTTCTGCCTCCCTGCAGAGCCAATTACGGTTCGTTTTTGTTGCAGCGCCGCTGTGCGATCCAATGTTTTCATACGGCTTCAACATCCCCTTTCTGACGTGCTTAGTAATTTTATCAGTTGAACCGTTTCTTCGTCACCCACTGGTTGAAAACCCAATGTCTTGGGATGTACTAATAGTAACGACAGGATTGAACTAGCAAGTACTTGTCTTGAACCGTATTGATCGTTGACTCGCAATTTTACTCTGTACAGTTCAGGACCTGTATAAAATGGAAGATGAAATTGCACGTTCAACAACACATGCTGAGCTTGAGAAAAATTTTCTACGCGAATCAGCTATGTTGAGGGCTGTTCTGCAGAAATTCATAGACGGCGAGACTGAGGTGAGCCTAAAGCCTAGTTTCTTGTTCCATTCAGTTTTTAGAGCGGACGTAACGAATCAAGTATGGTTCACATAATAAACTACGACTAACAGCTCAAAAATTCCCTGACGGCAGATTCCTTGAATCACTCTTATGTGCACTGGTACATACATGATCGCTTTCTTTGGGAGATCATCATATTTATTTATTTGAGACGCTGCTCGCAGGCAGACGTAAAAGCTGCAATCAAAATTACATACAATCAAACAATCAATATAATCGCATTATTCAATAACACAGTAACAGGTTCTTTGCCCAACGTTTGAACACATTATTGTTATTATTTATCACCTTATAGTAGGATATTTCAGCCTTGTAGCTCTAGTGTGCTTCTCAATATCATCCAGATGCGTAGGTGTTCGAGGATTGCCCACTATGCTACGGCTCAGCTTCGTTCCGAAACGAGTGCACGACTGGAGCAGGTAGGGTCTTTTTGATATGAGTTGAGCCATGCGAGGAAATATCTGCGCCTCAGTAAGTTATTTCCCGAAATATTTTTAAACATCTAATTCGAGTTCAGGTCGAAGCAAAATATTTACTACTCCAAAACTCGTCAAGTGAAATACAGCATTTACAAAAAGAAATAAGTCGCTGTTTACAATTCAGGTTAGTTTCTCTATACAGCGCCTGAGTTTCAAGCATAGCGAGCCCATCTTCGACAATGTCCTACTTATATGAAGCGCTTCGTTTGCCTCCTTACGTCTGTATGTTTGTCACGAAAATCTCTATTTCCTGTACATGCGCCTGGAGAGATCGGGTTAGTGTGGAATGGGCCCTGTCTCGAGAAGTGCAAAGCATTCATAGGCCCAGCGGAGTCCCGCCCATAGTGGGCGTGACCTGCAGCGAAATGGGTAACTGACAACCGAAAATTCAAATTGATTCCAACAGCCTAGAGACTGTGACAAGTGGGTAAAGGTGTTCATTGATAAGCCAGATCGAACTAAGGAGACCTGCCGGCGTTTTTAGCGCTGCTTAATGACAAAATTTACAACTCCGTCAGGAGAAGGCCCACAGAGCAGAACAAAATTGGTTTAGGAAAGCAATGGCTAAGGTTACGGTTTTTTACAGTACATGAGCGCAGGCTCGCCCACAATGGTCGGTGTCTTAAAGAGGACAGCGTTCCCACCAACCTCATAATTCGGTTTCCAAGAAGTTTTAGAGAACGGTAAGGTGGGTAGAGGTCAAAGAAGGAGGGTGGCTCAATGTTAATGTGGCGTGACGTGCACCAAAGTTGCTCCTACACTTATTACTACGTTCCAAG